AATAAAGGAGGTTTTAACTTACGCAAGTGGAAAAGTAACGAAACGGCGATCTTAGAAGACCTACGAAATGATCAAAAAAGCAGCGACGCTAATATCAACTTCAGCCCGGAACAAACGACAAACCAAACAACAAAGATGTTGGGTATGAGGTGGAACCAATCTAGTGACTGTTTCACGTACAGCTGGAACTTATCTGAAAAGAAAAACCTTACGAAGCGAACATTGCTTAGTGAAATAAGCAAGTTGTACGACCCGCTTGGCTTCCTATCACCGTTTATTATAAAAACAAAATTATTATTTCAAAAGATCTGGATAAGCAAAATCACCTGGGACGAACCCCTATGCGACGAACTAATCAACGAGTGGGAAACACTGAGGAAAGACATCCCTTTGTTAAGCCAAATAGCAATGCCAAGGTGGCTTCAGTGCCATGGCACCGGTATTGAGATACACGGATTCTGCGATGCCAGTGAAAAGGCATATGCGTGTGTAATTTACAGCCGCGTCCGAAATCTGAACGACGAGTACGTCACCAGGCTAGTAACTGCAAAAACTAAAGTTGCGCCGCTCAACAAAAGGATAACTCTACCGAAGATGGAGCTATGTGGAGCATTGTTACTTGCTAAACTGATAGAAAAAGTCAAGCAAACACTCGACGAGAAAACACTTCAGATAAGGTGCTGGAGCGACTCCAAAGTTGTGCTAGCATGGTTGCAAGGGGATATAAACAGATGGGAAAAATATGTAGCGAACAGAGTGGCTCAAATAAACAATATTACCCCTGCGACTCATTGGAACTACGTAAGATCTGAAGAAAACCCCGCTGACTGCGCAAGCCGAGGACTCCTGCCTTCCAAACTGGTAGAATTTAATCTTTGGTGGGAAGGCCCAAGTTGGTTAAAGACATATGATTCTAAAAATAGTCAAGACAATTATTGTTTGACCTACATAACAAACAATGGACTTCAATCGACAAAATGCTGCGTGTCGACTTACAAAACATGTGACATTATTAAAAACTTGCTTAATAAGTATAGCAGTTTGAAACGTGTAATTCGAGTACTTGGCTGGATTCTACGAGTTTTCAACATGAATAATAAGGAGGGAATCCGCTCTAATAATAGCTTAACCGACTGCGAAGGAAAAAGGAAAGTTATGTGTTTATCAACGCAAGAAATTAAAGCGGCTACAGACTTGGTGGTCAAAAATGTCCAGAGGGAGTATTTCAGGGATGAAATGGAGCGCTTGGAAAAGAAACTGCCTATATCATCAAAGAGCTCACTGCTGAAGTTGTCTCCATTTCTAGATGAATATGGATTACTGCGAGCTAAAGGACGATTGATCAACTCAACACTGCCTCCGGAATCAAAGCAACCTCTTATTATACCCGCTACAGGCAGATTAACGGAACTCATTATACAAGAGGCGCACAACGACACTCTTCATGGCGGTGCCAGGCTCACCTTGGCCTATGTGCGACTTAAGTTTTGGGTCATTGGTGGCAACAGGACAGTGAAAAGGGAGCTACGACATTGTGTAAAGTGTCACCGGTTTAAACCTAGTCGTAACGTTCAACTGATGGCAGACTTGCCCAAGGAGCGAGTAACTCAATCCAGACCCTTCACGAACACTGGAGTCGACTATACCGGGCACGTTGACATAAAAATAAACAAAGGGAGAGGAGTGAAAACATGCAAGGCTTACATAGCTATTTTCATATGCCTGGCAACTAAGGCGGTTCATTTGGAACTGGTATCGGATCTGACCACGCAAACCTTCCTTGCCGCCTTTAGACGACTGTGTGCCCGCAGAGGCACACCCCGTCACATGTATTCCGATAACGGAACGAATTTTGTGGGCGCAGCAAAACTGTTAAAAGAAAACTTTGAAAAACATGAAACATTTAAGACATCCGAATTCTTCAATGAAATGAGCCATCTACAAGTAGAATGGCATTTTAACGCCCCCCTATGGCCCACAGCTGGAGGTCTGTGGGAGGCGGCCGTTAAAGCAATGAAATACCATTTAAATCGAGTACTGGGGGAACAAAAGCTTACTTTTGAGCAATTTACTACGCTGCTAGCTCAAATAGAAGCATGCCTGAACTCACGTCCGTTGTGTCCATTAACCGAAGATATTGAAGATCTCGAATACTTAACTCCTGGGCACTTCCTTACTGGTGGACCCCTACTGGCCCCACCACAAGAGGAGCAAGAGTTCGCCGAGAATGATTTAAGAAATAGATGGAGACTTGTCGAGCAACTAAACATACAAATCTGGAAGCGTTGGTCGAATGAATATCTGCACCAACTGCAAGTAAGAAGCAAATGGCAGCAATCTCAAGAAAATCTTAAAGAAGGAAGCCTAGTACTCGTAAAAGATGAACACCTTCCTCCCGGACGATGGGCTCTCGGAAGAGTAAATGAGATTCATCCGGGAGCAGACGGAAGAGTTCGAGTGGTTACTTTAAAAACTAAAAAAGGCACCTTAAAACGGCCCATTACCAAACTGGCACCGTTACCATTGCAAACCAACGAGGAAAATCAAGCCAAAAAACCGCCTTCTAGTCCGGAACCGAAAAAACGAAGTCCAACAGGAGCAAATAAGAATGCACTATCTCTCATTCTTATGTCTATATTAACCATGACAGCGTTAACGCAATCCACGCCCATAACAAATAATTTGCAAGTGACACCAATTGTAAACACTCATCCTGTTTATTTTGATGAAACTGGCCAATTACAACTGATTCATGACGAATGGACACTGCTCATCTACTATAATCTAACGTCATACTGGCAAGCCACCAACGAGATCAGCGCATACATCGACCAAATTGAAACCTTGTGCAACAGGATCTCACACGAGTATTCGCCTTGCGAAACAGTCGTCAGCCATTTGCGTCATGAACTGGAACATCTTGCAGAATACAATTCAATGCTATTGTCACAACATTCCAGACAAAGACGTGGCTACTTTGATGGAATTGGCAAGTTATCGAGAACACTATTTGGGACCCTGGACGTGGACTTCGCAAATAAATACGAAAAGGATATACAAAACATGCAATTAAACGATAATTACTTATTACAGCTTATGAAGAACCAAACTTTGGTCATAGAAGCAGAAAACAATGTTGTTAAAAAGAACGCTGAGTTCATGGAAAAACAACTCCAAACGATTAAAACATACATGAATAGATCATGCAATGTCATCACAAAAATCGAGAACCGCGCGCAAATGTTATTCACTATAAACGACATTAATTCTGCCGCGGTGACATCAACTTTAATTTTCCAGGAGCTGAACAGGATTCTAGATATGCTAATGAGTGCCTTAAGTAACATCAACAAAGGTCATTTAGATACTCACCTGTTTCCAGCATCCCAACTCATCGAACAACTTAATATCATATCTGGAAGATTACCCCAAGGACTGTCGTTGCCTGTGAAAGATATTCAAAATGATTTTCTGAACATCTACGATCTAATTCACGTCAAGGCTCGAATAACAAACAACTTTTTCCTATTTGAAATACACATCCCGTTGTTAAGTGACGAAGATTACAAAATATATCGCGTTATACCGATACCGTTCTTACAACAAGGGAACTTAAAACTCCTACAACCTACATCCAACTTTATTGCTATCAACCTTAGGAAAAACTCCTACATCATTATGGAAGAGCAAGACTTACGTCAATGTACTGCGTACGGAGAAGATAAATTTATCTGCATATCTCATCAACCAGTCTACAACTTACACGATGAGGATGCGCCTTGTGAAGCTAAAGTGTTCAGCCAACAGACGTCATTATCATGCCTTATCAATGACGTCACCTGCAAAGAAACCTGGACCAAGCTACATAAACCCAACTTGTGGCTGTTTACGTTGTGCGACAAACAGCTGATGCGCGTCATATGTAGCGATCAAGTTACGCCGGCGGTTATTGACGGAACTGGAATAATTTCATTGAAACCTAAGTGCATACTGCAGAAAAAGGATGCCACGATAATTACCTACAATCACTTAGGTAGTAATGTTTATATGAAACCGGATATTGAAGTACCAACAATAAACTCAACAATAAACCATATATTCGATCTCGGATGGAAAAATGCACACCTAAACATTATAGAACATGACACGGAGACAGCAAGTGAGGTAATGAGAATCAATCAACAGCTGGAAGACATAAAACACCAGGAAGTATTACCGAAAGCATCCGACCTCTCGAGTCACGACATATATCACTATTCAATAACTTCGCTGCTGTTGGGAGGACTGGCAGTACTTGCCCTATATTTTTTGCGAAAACGATGCCGGACGGTAAATCCGGCCACAGAGAATACTGTGAAACAAAAAGGAAAGGACAATATTGCCATTGGAGAAGAAATCGACCTGCAAGAAGTAAGCAATCTGAGGTCAGCGGCACCAGTTCACAGCGGACAAGGACAGCAGAAGAAAATGTTCAACTTTGAGGAATTTATTTAATAATTATTTGCATTTTACTTAACTATGATTTGTTTGTATATTACTTGATTTGTTTTACATTTTGCTTTGTAAGGGGTGCTCATCGGATATTTTTTCCCTCGGGAGCATGTACGGTTTACGTACAGGCATTTATTTTGCTAACGTCGCGCGACCTACTTTCGCGAGTCGATTTAATTAATATTGTAATTTTTGTATTTAGTTGATTATAACGATACTCACGATTAGCACCTAACATAACTAGTGTAACATACACAATAAACTATTAAACGGGAAATCTGTGGTATTTGTCAACTCAAACAAATTAACGACGCCTGGGTCCATACACCAACCAATCCGAAGGCTGAACGTTTCGAATTTATGACTTTCGGCTCTCTGATTGGCTTACCCTAAAGTGATCAACCAATCACAGGGCTAAACGCAGTAACGTTCGATAGCTTCAACGTGAAACAAACTCGGACTAGACATTCTGCAAATGAATGAATTAACATGGTAATACTTGAGTTAAGATGGTCATACAGTACAGTGTAGAAGAAGTAAGAAGAAACGAGTTCAAGGAGCAAAGTAAATGTATTAGTGATTTTCTTTTTTAAGGAATGAAGTTCTTTATCGCGCATTGCGGTCGTCTCTCAACCCCCTCTCTTTCCCTCTCTCCTTTAGAAAGCAAGAGTTATTTTCGTTTCGTCTTTCTATATTGCATTGAACAACGATTATTATTCGACGAGTTAATTTTTACGACGAGTAAAGTTGAATTAATAATTTTACAGCTACTAAACCGGCAGGAAAAGAAATTCACGTAAAGGTTTTTTATGTTATGGCAAATGGTTGGAAAACATAACATTCAAGTCAAGAATGGGAATGACAATGGAAATTTGAATGGGAATGGGAATGGCAATGGGAATGGGAATGTGAACCTATTCCTAAATGGGAATGGAAATAGTAAATGAGAATGAGAATGAGAATGGGAATTCGAAAGAGAAAGAGAAAGAGAAAGAGAAAGAGAAAGAGAAAGAGAAAGAGAAAGAGAAAGAGAAAGAGAAAGAGAAAGAGAAAGAGAAAGAGAAAGAGAAAGAGAAAGAGAAAGAGAAAGAGAAAGAGAAAGAGAAAGAGAAAGAGAAAGAGAAAGAGAAAGAGAAAGAGAAAGAGAAAGAGAAAGAGAAAGAGAAAGAGAAAGAGAAAGAGAAAGAGAAAGAGAAAGAGAAAGAGAAAGAGAAAGAGAAAGAGAAAGAGAAAGAGAAAGAGAAAGAGAAAGAGAAAGAGAAAGAGAAAGAGAAAGAGAAAGAGAAAGAGAAAGAGAAAGAGAAAGAGAAAGAGAAAGAGAAAGAGAAAGAGAAAGAGAAAGAGTGAAGGCGAAGGTGAAGGTGAAGGCGAATGTGAAGGTGAAGGTGAAGGTGAAGGCGACGGTGAAGGTGAAGGTGAAGGTGAAGGCGACGGTGAAGGCGAATGTGAAGGTGAAGGTGAAGGTGAAGGCGAAGGTGAAGGTGAAGGTGAAGGTGAAAGTGAAGGTGAAGGTGAATGGTGAAGGCGAAGGCGAAGGCGAAGGCGAAGGTGAAGGCGAAGGTGAAGGCGAATGTGAAGGTGAAGGTGAAGGCGAAGGCGAAGGTGAAGGGTGAAGGCGAAGGCGAAGGCGAAGGTGAAGGCGAAGGCGAAGGCGAAGGTGAAGGTGAATGTGAAAGTGAAGGTGAAGGTGAAGGTGAAGGCGAAGGCGAAGGTGAAGGTGAATGTGAAAGTGAAGGTGAAGGTGAAGGTGAAGGTGAATGTGAAAGTGAAGGTGAAGGTGAAGGTGAAGGTGAAGGTGAAGGTGAAGGTGAAGGTGAAGGTGAAGGTGAAGGTGAAGGTGAAGGTGAAGGTGAAGGTGAATGTGAAGGTGAAGGTGAAGGTGAAGGTGAAGGTGAAGGTGAAGGTGAAGGTGAAGGTGAAGGTGAAGGTGAAGGTGAAGGCGAAGGTGAAGGTGAAGGTGAAGGTGAAGGTGAAGGTGAAGGCGAAGGTGAAGGTGAAGGCGAAGGTGAAGGTGAAGGTGAAGGTGAAGGCGAAGGTGAAGGCGAATGTGAAGGTGAAGGTGAAGGTGAAGGCGAAGGTGAAGGTGAAGGTGAAGGTGAAGGTGAAGGTGAAGGCGAAGGCGAAGGCGAAGGCGAAGGCGAAGGCGAAGGCGAAGGCGAAGGCGAAGGTGAAGGCGAAGGCGAAGGCGAAGGCGAAGGCGAAGGCGAAGGCGAAGGTGAAGGTGAAGGTGAAGGTGAAGGTGAAGGTGAAGGTGAAGGTGAAGGTGAAGGTGAAGGTGAAGGTGAAGGTGAAGGTGAAGGTGAAGGTGAAGGCGAAGGTGAAGGCGAAGGTGAAGGTGAAGGTGAAGGGGAAGGTGAAGGCGAAGGCGAAGGCGAAGGCGAAGGCGAAGGCGAAGGCGAAGGCGAAGGCGAAGGCGAAGGCGAAGGCGAAGGTGAAGGCGAAGGCGAAGGCGAAGGCGAAGGCGAAGGCGAAGGCGAAGGCGAAGGCGAAGGCGAAGGCGAAGGCGAAGGCGAAGGCGAAGGCGAAGGCGAAGGCGAAGGCGAAGGCGAAGGCGAAGGCGAAGGCGAAGGCGAAGGCGAAGGCGAAGGCGAAGGCGAAGGCGAAGGCGAAGGCGAAGGCGAAGGCGAAGGCGAAGGCGAAGGCGAAGGCGAAGGCGAAGGTGAAGGTGAAGGTGAAGGTGAAGGTGAAGGCGCCTCACCTTACTTTTCATACTATTCTACAGATATCAGTTTGTCAATCAGTCCTGTTACTGAAGCTATTTGCTCGTTTCAAAGTTTAGATTCCGATAGAGCAGGACGTAAAAATACTAAGGCCACTCTTTTTAAATCAGTTTTTCATGTATGTTATGTAATATGTATTTAAAAATTATATTGTATTATGTGAGAACAGTGATATTTATTCTACGTGACAACATTGATATTTAATAAAAAAAATCAATTCAATTTGTGTACCCTTTTAAATATTATAATTTATTATATTTTATTTATGTACTAACGTATAAGTAAGGCCTATCTCGTAAGAACGGCTAGCGTCATTAATATTTCAATTATAAAATTAATTTACAAATCACCAACATATACGCACTTACTACGTATTATTTCATTAACGCGACTGAATAGTCTGGCCGCTCGCGCTATACAAAGGAAGCCGCCTCATTGAGTCTGCAATTAATTTTAATGTTTTAATCAATGAATTAACGTTTTAATCCCCGCCGCGGTGTATCGATCAGCCACCATACAATCGATTGATTGTCATTAAATAAATGTAGCGAATAGTGTCGGCTGTACACTGCCAAGAATGAACACCTGTTTGTGTTTTGTCATACCTATTGTTCTTAGTTGTACCTTGATTGAAGATAGTACAAGATTTATTAATTGTATGACATGGCCTTAGTTACCTTTGGCTAGAGTGTAAGCTCACTAATGAGCTACGGCATCGACCTGCAACAGGGAAACGTGGTGATTTTAGTCAGAATCTGACACTCGAGGCGACTGACTACAAGGCGCGAAAAGTTATCTGATAATTTTCCCCTGACAACAAAAAAATATGACATGTCTAGCATCCGTCCGCAGCTTCGCTCGGTAATAAAAGTAATGCATTCAACAGCGTTTATAGCGATAGCCCGACTTAAATACGCAAATCAATCTTGTAGCCGTAATGAATTGAAAAACTAGCTATCTATCTGTGAAAGAATTTTGGGAATCCGACTAGCAGTTCCAAACAGTCTCCAGTGTGGGAGAGCCATGCTTCGGCACGAATGGGTCGGCTCGACCGGGATGATACCACGGCCTCACAGGAAACCGGCGTGAAACAACCACAGCGGTGTGTTTCGCCGTGTGAGTGAGGTTACCGGAGGCCCAATCCTTCCCCACCCCCAATCCCTCCACAATCCCTTAATCTCCAAATCCCTAATCCCTAAAAGGTCGGCAATGCACTCGTTACTCCTCCGTTGCGGTTGTCCATGGGCGGCGCTGATTACTTACCATCAGGTAATCCGTCTGCTCGTTTGCCGATCTATTACATAAAAAAACATTACCCCCTACGTACAAACTGGTGTCACTCCGGTCGGGTATACCCATTCGTGCGGAAGCATTGGCTCTCCTACGTTTAAATATCAAAACAAATTAATATAAAGTTCACATTCCACTAATCGTGACATTTGTAAATATTCTAGTCTGTCTGCCAATTAATGCTGGTACTTACAGTCACTGTGATTTACAACAATTATTAATTGTTATAGAGAGCGCTGACACTTTTATAGTCGTTAAACAAGTTGACCGATCAAATCTGAACTAGTATTATAAAGCTGAAGTGTTTGTATGTTCGTCCGAACGCGCTAATCTCCGAAACTACTGGTTCGAATTAAACAAATTGTCATCTACAGCATTAATCGCGCCCCTTTTCTCATATACAATTCCGCATAACGTAAGTAAACATAGAAAATGCTTATAAGTAACGTTTTTGTAGTAACTGATCGTTAGTCTACTACTAAACAAAGACCTCTTCTGACGCTGAGAAGGTTTGAGCATTAATAATACTTGCTCAAGGTGGATCGGTAATTCGAAACTTATATTGTCAATTTTGTTTTTAGTCCAAAATGGTTTTTACCTTAAATTTTCGCTAGTGATGTCTGAATAGACTAGAAAAGTACCTACATACACCTTACAAATGTCAAATTGGTACTTGCCAGGTTTTGAACCTAACCCTCATACATGACAATCGTTAACTTCCGTGCCACCACGATCGACCTATCGTACGACCTTGACTTTTCATGGTAACTCGCATTATATCATCAGCCTATAAATGCTTACTACTAAGCAAAGGCCTCTTCTCACACGGAGGAGGTTTGACCATGACTGACAAGATGGATTGGCCATTTCAAACTTATAATTAGAAACAATAAGTCCAGGGGTTTCCTCACGATGGTTTTCTTTCAGTTTTCACTAGTGGTGTCTAAATACACTTGGGAATTACATATAACTAATTTAAGTGTGGGAGAGCCATGCTTCGGCACGAATGGGTCGGCTCGACCGGAGTGATACCACGGCCTCACAGGAAACCGGCGTGAAACAACCACTGCGTTGTGTTTCGCCCTGTGAGTGAGGTTACCGGAGGCCCAATCCTTCCCCTCCCCCAATCCCTCCTCAATCCCTAAATCTCCAAATCCCTAATCCCCAAAAGGTCGGCAACGCACTCATAACTCCTCCGTTGCGATTGTCCATGGGCGGTGCTGATTGCTTACCATCAGGTAATCCGTCTGATCGTTTGCCGATCGTTTACATAAAAAATAACTTAGAAGAAGTCAAATTGATACTTCCGAACATGAACCCTCATGTGTCAACTTCCATGCCTCCACGACCTAGGTATCACACTTGACCACGACCTTCGACGTTTCATAGCAACTCAGTCGGTAATAAAATCTGCGTAAGTATTGTATGATCAACATAAACGGCCTCACAAAAAACCGGCGTGAAACAACCACAGCATTTTGTTTCACCGTATGAGTGAGTTTACCGGAAGCTCAATCCCTCGCCCGCCCCCATCATAAATACCCGGAATCCATATCCCCAAAAGGCCAGCAACGCTCTCGTAAAACAAATGTTGCTGCGGGTGTCCATGGACGGTGCCGATTGCTTACCATCAGGGGCCCGAGTCTACTATTTTCAAAGTGTTGTCATTCCTACACGATTCCATTGTCATTTTGCTAAAAGTTCGTAATCTGTTAATTCAAAACGGCTGATCATTGGCGTTCGGCGATGTCGTAATAGAATTATAGTACGAGATGTTTTGTAACGAATTATAAACAATAACTGCACATTAATATTCTAAACGTAAATCATTGAATAAAGGAACTGACGTTTTTTTATTAATTTACCGCATTATGTCAAATATTCCTTTGTCATTATGTCCGAGATTACCGTTCTAAAGAATTATTTCAATGAAGTGGCATTGGAAAGTAATAATGACGCTATCGTGTTAGTAGATTACCAAACTTGTCAAAATCAAAAATTTTGAAACCAATGATCTACTATTCTGACACTATTGTAATAGCAGACTCGAGGCCCAGGTAATCCGTCTGCTCGTTTGTCAAACTATCTCATAAAAAAGTAGTTACCAACGTGTACATTTGTAGCATTTCCTTCATACCTACTTGGGCCGGCTCGACCGAAGCGATACAATGGCCTCACAGAACACCGTCCTGAAACAAGACTTAAGTAAGAACCTACGTTTCGTCGTGAGTGAGGTTACTGGAGGCCCAATCGTTTCCTTACCCTATCTTTTCCATTCCTAAATCTCCAAACCCTAAATCCCTAATAGCCCAAAAAAGGCCGGTAACGCCTCTTTGGTGTTACTGGTGTTCATGGTAGCGCTGATCGACTACCATCAGGTTATATATACATATACGCTTGTTGGCCGTATATACATATTGCATAAAAAAACATCACCAAAAAAGTCAAAGGTCAATTAAAATGTAAGTAACACGATCTCAATTGATAAAGAGTTGTTGTAGCCGGCCAGTGTTGCCGTACCTACGCTTGTATTAATAGTTCCCGCTTAATGAACAACTCCAAAACGTAAACACAAACTTATCCGCGGTACGCACTCTCAAAATATTCTATTGACTAAAACGAACACGTGCCCACCAACCAATTTAGCCAGACAAGGATAGACATACTACCAGATGTAACCACTCGTACACAAGACAGAGACAGAACGACTGCAGCGCGACACCATTTCAGGCGAAACCCGGACCGTGTCGATTCTAAATATGGCTTAAGTTCTATCAAATCGTATGAGATAATTTAAACTTTAGCGTAAAGTCGTAAGGTGCGAATTGGCGTGAACGGCTTAAGTCGAGTTATTTCTGGATTTACACAGCACCGTTGAACAAATTTCATTTCAACCGCCGAAAGTTTAAAGTGCAATATAAATATTGCAGCGGTGGAAGTAGGGGCCCGCTGTATTCACAATATTTAAGGCGACTTCCGCGATGACGACACAGACGGCGCTCCCGACACAGTGTGTGTCATAACCTATGAGGACCTGGCACAGTAACTCTTGTTGGAAAACGCACATATGCCCATGAGATACAATTTATAATAACACGGCAGGTAAAAAGAAGACTTGAACATGCAGTGTAAGCTGAAATAGCCTCTATGTAGGGTTGATAAGATTGTTTATAGTGTGATGGAACAGGTGGGGGGAGATATTAATAGAATGTTGCAGAATGCGCGCGCGGACCGTCTTATTTGGTGAGAGACTCTAAACAGGCTCGCGGTGACGTACAGGAGCAGACGGACATTTTTTGTTAAACTTCACATCTAACATTTATTTAATAACTTAAGTAGAAATTAATTAACTGAACCAAGAAATTTGTGATCGGTCTTCAAGATTTTAATGATGACGTTACAATGAAATAGATGAATATTTAGGTAACATGTTGTAGGTCACTGATAAACTTTCAACTAGTAACCTAGGCAAACCTTCTTGGAGTGGACGATTAAGTATGAAATTAGGATGAGACCAACACTTATGTGGAGTAGCGAGTCGCGCCCTAGTTTCACAGAAGACCCTTGTTTCACATAACAATATATGTCCTATGTTATAATGTGAGCGTACGACGCATACATAGCGCTCCTCAAAGGGCCAATAGACCACCACAGAACGGGCCCAACAGAGCTGATTTTCATTGCGCTACAGGGGCAATAAAGTACCGCGACCTTGGCCTGGAGAACAAAACAGTGGTTTTAGTCAGTAAGAGTCTAACACTTCCTCTCGCGATCCCATCCACGACGAGTCATTAGATGATTTTATCCTCACAAAAAACGCATGTTTATACGCTAGCAAAAGTAAATGTATAAAACCGGTTCTGGCGACAACAGGGCAGTAATTTAGGCCCTGAAATAAATGGATAAACAAAAAAATATATACATATATCACCGCCCTTAACTACTACGCTGGGTATGAAACGAGATGTCTTCCATTTTGTTGATTGATTCAAGTCTAATTCCATTTAAGTTTTGGACTTCATATCCTAATAGCATTAATTTTTTTGGACTTCTTAGAACCAAGGTACCATCTCATCATCATCCATCATTTTTTCTAATTACCATCAGGTAATTAGAAAAAAGTTTTGGAATTTCCGCAATGTTGAATTAATAATAACGTCACATAGCTTGCCATGTTCGTATAAAGATTATTTGTATTGATACATAATAAAAGCAAGCTTAAAAATTTAATTTCAAAAATCCGCGCATTTCAAATAAAAAATGTAAAAAGTTCGCCAGCACCTTTGGTACCAGTTCTATATGTACCCAGAATTAAACATCTATCTATGTTTGTATAGGTATATACTTTTAAACAATTGATAACTTACGGTTGAAATCAAGGAATTTCAATCCAAAATCTTTGAAATAAGAAACATTTTTGATATATTTTGTTTTTTTATCTAAAATCTAAAACAAATGAAAATCGATCCAGAGACTGGTCGAAATACGAAGACCCCTCATTGTTTTATATCGTTATAAAGTATTGATTCTCCCACAATTCCATTAAAAAAAATCTGTACACATTTTGAAATTTTGAATAACAGTATAAACAATATGGTGTCAATCGAAAAATTCAGAAAAAATATCGCAACATTATTTTGGTACAAATTCGTTCATTTGCTCCTGTACTGCACCGCGAGCCACTGAAAGTTCTCTCGCGACCACTAAATAAGGTGCGTACGCATCTTACTACTGTACCGCTGAAGCCAACACATGACCAATATCACATGACCTCTGAAACTACTAACACTTCCTCTACGCTCAAATTAATTTGAAACTAAGAGGGAGACGTGGGAGATCTAGGTTATCTGGTCTATCGACAGTTCTGTTTGGTAACATGCGCGTGGGCAATCCCAACGTGAGTTGCCCACTGTCAACATGTGTTGGTAGCTGTCTGAGTGTGAGTGTAAATGGATTGTACCGTAGCAGATTAAAGTGTTTGTTAATCGACGGTTTAATTAATCAGGATTCCAGTTAATAAGATTATTATTTAAACAACCACTACTATTATCCAATAGGTGTAAAAAATATAAAATTTTATTACATCCAAATTCTTATAAGAAACTTATTTTCTACGTTTTCTCAATTGGTTTCGTCGTGTGTTTTGATTTTTATTCAATGTTTGCCAAAGTTCCGTTTCTTACTATTTCTGCCTTCACACAACTATACAACTAAAAACTGCACGGTTGGCGCAGTAGCTGGACATCTAGCTGCTGCGCAACGTGTCGTGGGTTTGATTCCCGCATGGAACAACTCTTTGTGTGTGTCAAATTGTATGTTTGTAAACGCATCCACGACGCAGGAAAAATATCGAGCCCAGGGCAACGTTCTTTTAAAAAAAGAATTATAATAACTCAATTAAAATAACTACGACTTATTTAGTAAGCAGTTGACCGTCCTTCAAAGTACCTTCAAGTAACCTCTGGTGTAGTTGTAGTGTTGACTACACGGTTGGTGCGGTGAATGGGCAACTGGCTGTCGTGCAACGTGTCGCGGGTTCGATGCACGCACGGAACAACTCTTTGTGTGATCCACAAATTGTTGTTCCGGGTCTGGGTGTCATGTGCGTGTGAAATTGTATGTTTGTAACCGCACCCACGACACAGGAGAAAATCCTAGTGTGGGGCAACGTTTTTTAAAAAAGAAAAAAAAAGTAGTAATTAAAATAATTCAGAAAGTATAACAATAACGAATAACGAGTTTACGGATTGTCTGATGGTAAGCAATCAGTGCCACCAATAGATACAACACCAGAGGTGATTTGGAGATTAAAATATTGGGAAAGGATGGGTGAGGAAAAAGATTTGACCTCCGGTAATCTCATTCACACGGCAAAACACCACGCTGTGGTTGTTTCACGCCGTTTTTGTGTGAGCCCGTGGTATCACTCCGCTCGAGCCGACCCATTCGTGCTGAAGCTGATGGCTCTACCATCATGAGATCATATCTCATCATTTCTCTTTGGGTTTATTTTAAATTGGCCCAAAATACCAAATTTTCGCAGCAATAAAAACATACTTATACAAAGAAATATTACACAATGACTGTTTCGCA